TGGCGGGAAGTAATCCCCACCTTTTATGATCTACAGAGTTAAGCTTTAAGCTTTGCGTAATCCAACATAATATTATGTAATTGGCAGCTCGCGAACCGCGATCCATTACGTAGGAAGTGACTCCATTGCCCCATTACTTTATCCATTATCAACCATTAGATCATAAAATGAACAAAAATTTGATATATGAATATAAAGTCTTAGCTAATGATAAAAGTAACGTAGTGTTGCATTTGTAAATGATCATATTACCTGTTTAGAAACGCGTTCGACATGAAGCAGACACTAGGGTCCGGGAGACCATACTTATTCCTCGGATGAGTGGTGTCATTAACATCAAGATCGCTGAAATCCATGGGCAGGGTGCAATTAAAATCATGGACTTCAACAGTTGGCAACCGCCCAATGCCTACAAATACCATGAAAGTGGTATTATCGAAACCGGCAAGCTCCTCCGTTGAGTTCGTCGCATTGAAGTCAAACGTTGTGGTTTCCATGTCGAAAGTCGTGGTCTCTGGGAACTCGGTGGTGGTCAAGTCGTCAGTTGAGTTGCTGACGTTCTGTGGTGGCACCGGTGACCAGTCCCAAACCTTGATGCTAAGACCGATGTTTCCAGGAAGGATGATCTTATGTATCACCATCTTTTCATCCCAGGCTGTGGTGAAGTTGTGAACCTCTGTCAGTTGGACTTTGCTGGCATCTCGGTTGATGTAGATATTAAAGGGATCGTCCAAGTCTTGAACTTTCATTTCACCTCCTAAGTTTTAAAATACAAAATGTGCCTAGCGTTATAAATACTGCGTAATTCAATAGTGATCTGGTTGTGTCTATTCGAATATAAGCAAAAAAGTGTACATTGTTTTCTTTGTATTGATATCGAATGAAGCCATTATGTGTGTCCGTTCGTGGGTGTGCACGAGCGCCCTTTACATATCTTATAAAACGCCGATATTTCCAACCAACACTTTCAGAGAGTTATTAATTCCACATAGGTTGGGATGACAGAAATATATTATTTAACTTAAATTGACTTGCCCGTTTCATTTTTGAAATCCAGAGATATAACCGGTGAGTTCGGTGTGAGGTCTTCAACCACGTCGTCGGCGCTACCGCTCGTGTTGGTGGCATTGGCCCCAGCATACGGGTTGCTCTTCATCGCCGCTACCTATCGCAGTGAAAAAGAAAATTTCAATTATCTTCTGAGCGATTGTGTTTTCCATCATTCTAAGCAGCCGCAATCAAACATCTGTCCAATGACACTGTGGGAAATGAAAAACAGCAATTTTTGTGATTCTTAAAATTGAAATGGACATGTATTTGAACACTTTGCGTGAAAAAAGTGTATCCAGTAATTACCATGTATTTAAGTGAGGACGTAGTATCGTTTCCGGTTCCTATGAGGCTGTCCATACCCGGCATGTTGATATCACCACTGCTGCCGGCACCAAGAGTTGCTGTGTAAGAGAGATGCAGAAATACTTAGCAAATATTTCACGAATTGCAAATACAAAATTACCAAAACTAATTGCCCGCCTCTTTTCACCATTTAAAGTTCTCACATATCTCTGTATAATGCAATTTTACTAAAATGTATTAGGAAAAAAAGAAACAAACTTATTTCCAAATTAAGGGTCATCGCAAGGGGAAAGATAGCGGTGAGCTAGGCAAGAGTGATCCGAAACTTTACACTTGAAATAACAGTAATAAATCAAAGTTGAGGATGACGGTCACACTGACGAACAGGAATGTACAGCACTGTTAGTGAAGAGGATTTTGGATAAAGGGTCATATCAACACAATCTTTTTACGTTGGCGGCGAGGAAAAAAAGGGGCTATCGACACACTCACCTTTATCGAGCTTATCAGGGTATTCCAACTGAGTGCTGACCTGCATTTTAGTCGTGGAGATGGTTGTTGTGGGTTCGCCCACCACTTTTTTGTCCATCACGCCTTGACCGATGTATTTCGTCATAGTGACGAGATTGGTCTGAAGTATAATAAAGTGTATGATAGCCAAGACAGGTTATTGAAAAGAAGATTACATGGATGATTTGCTAGAATTATTTTAAGTAATATGGTTTGCAATTCATGATTTATGGAAGGACTATATTTTTCAGAATGAATGTAGATTATTATTTTACTTTCAGCGATTATCCCCTAACCTGCTTAATGCTTTACAAAAACATTGAATTACTGAAGAATTCTCCTGTATATTTGAAAACTCAAACTTCGTAAGCATGAAGTGCAAACCATATTTATCAAAAAATCAACATCAAAACTTCACGAAACAGATTTGACTTGTTCTGTGATACCAAGTTGAAACAGTTAATCGTCAGCCATCCAGATACCTTAATCGCTAAGAGGACGACCCTCGGTTGCTCCTAATCAAACACTTCTAAATTCTTATCACAGATTGGTGCTCTGGAATAAGTGTACTTCTTGTCCTTATGGCCTAACGGATTCTATGCACACATACTAAGAGTACATATGTATACAGCCTCACTTATAGGCCTACTAATCTACAAGTGGTATCGACATGGGTTCACTTAGGCAGTTCCTGTATTTCCCCCTGTGTTTTTATTTGGTAATGGCGAGGGAACCAAAGTTGAACCATGGGGTCAGTCTACCAACAGACCGGCCTCTAGTGATTGCACACAGGGGAAGCTCAGGTATGCGTCCCGAACACACTGTGGAAGCGTACGAACTGGCCGTCAGACAAGGCGCAGACGTCATTGAATGTGACCTGTGTGTCACCAAAGACTTACAGCTTGTCTGTCTACACGAGCCGTGGCTTAACGCCTCAACCGATGTTGCAAATTTTACACAATTTGCCGAGAGAGTCAAAACATATTCAATTTTTGATGAGGCCAATAATGTCACCATTGTCAAAACTGATTATTTTTCGGTGGATTTTACTCTGGATGAACTGAAAAAATTGAGAAAAAGACAGTACCGCAAATACAGAGATCAGAATTACAATGGGCGTTTTCAAATTGCATCGTTCGACGACTTCTTGCAAGTTGCAAAGACTGCGGAAAGAATTGTGGGTATTTATGTCGAAACCAAGGCACCAACGTGGACTGCAACTCTTCCAATCATGAACAATACGACATTTGAGGATTTGGTTGTAAAAGAAGTACAAAAGTATGGCTATACGGAGGCAACAGACCCATGCTTTCTGCAATCTTTTAGCGAAAAAAGTTTGGAAATTTTTGCTACAAAAACTAAATTGCCACTTGTTATGCTGGTCAAATATTCACCTAATAACGAAGAATTCGAAAGGTTTTCTAGGATATGCTACGGCGTGGGACCATGGAAGACGCTAATTGTGCCGTCTTGGACCTCCAGAAATGGGGATAAGAATTACATCAAGAACAGCACGGATTTCATTGAAAAGGCGCATTCATTTGGGTTAAAAGTCCATCCTTTCACATTCCGCAACGAAGATGAGTTCCTTCCGTGGAATTATGGTCAAGATCCCTACGCAGAGTACGAAAAGTTTATAGAACTCGGTGTAGACGGACTTTTTACCGATTTCCCCGCTACATTGAAAAGATATTTAAACTGTGGAAGCGAATTTTCTTTAGTTAACAGTGCCACCATCAATAACTCTTTCAAACTGAGAGTTTTTCTCTCTACGCTGAGTATCATACTGAAATTTTATTGTAGCTAAATGACCAAGAACTAATATAATAAGGGTATTATTATTATCGGATTTCTCTTTCCATTTTTTCATTCATACTTTATTTATCTGTCCACATAAGGTTTATTTAATCTAAGCTCACCTTTGGTTTTTCTAATTTTGTCATATTTTTCGAAAATTTAAAAATGGCCTTTGATCGTATTCTTGACTACATGAATGTGTGTGTGTGTGTGTGTGTATGTGTGAAAATCGAATAATAACTGGCACAAGACTTCAATGAAAACCTGTGATTCGCAGATTTTATTCACCGAGCAATATTGTCAGATGATAACAAATCCAGCCAAGAGTTGTTATCTGGACATTCACTGGACATTCACAGGTGCAGGACCAGAAAATAATCTCACGGTAAAAAAAAAAGACCAGAGGGCAAAATGAGTCTTTACGTAGATGCAGTTAATATGTGGCAGCATAACATGTACTTATAAAACTTATTAGTTAAACATTGTTATTTGTCAGAAGTTTTGCCTGTAGTTTTAGTATCTTTTGCAAATAGATACGCTGCTGTGGTTATGACAATACTTGTGCTAGAACTAAATGTAGCCGAGCACAGAACGACACATAGGTTATACTGTAATTCAATTACCAGCTTCTTTATTCTTACTGTTGAAGTACATTTGCACGTATGTTATACAGTTGATGAGTTACGACTGACTGATGAATGACAAGAAAGACACGTCACAGGGAATATATATTTCCCACGACCCACGTGCCAAGATAAGCGGAACTCGATATGTGACAACTTGTCCACCGGTTACATATGCACCCCAAAAATAAGGATGGCGTCCCGACATTCCCATTATAAAGTATGTACACAAAAATTAAAAGAAATATTTACAGAAATATTAAAAATATTAAAAGAATTATGTTACATTATAAATTCACACCCGTGAGCATTCTCTGTTCACATTCACAGCCGCGTACATGCAACCTTAATTCATCCTAATGAAACGCGATTAAGTACGGCAATTTGTGAAAAAAAAACGTGATATTTTCTTCTCTTCTTAGAATAAAACCATTAAAACAGCTGTAACTGACGATATTCCAGCACATCACTAGACAATAAGCAACATCTCCCACAGCACTAGACGATGTCCATCTTTATCCACACCATATCTATATCCACACCATGAGTATAACACAAATAATAATTATAGGGAAATGATTTTACAAAAAAACTTTGTTACACACAGAAGCACAAGCAATGGGTCAAATAACGGTCATGTGAAACAGCGCAGAAATAATCACATCCAAACGGAATTTAGGTAACACAATAGCATAGCCTGAAAAAAGCTGTCGACCAATGGTAGCCGAGTATAGAGTGACACATAGGCTATACTGTTTATTTAATCACCAGCTTCTTCATTCTCACTGTTGCACATACTTGTTGCACATACTTGCTGGGGTGACGACTGACTGACGAATGGCGAAGAATGATGTGACTCAGTAATGTCTTGTCAGCCGGTTTCGTGAACCTCCATTGCTTCAGTCTCGTCACCGCCCTAAAGTCATGCGCACCTCGGTTTAAAAAGATCTACCATAAGCTACCTCCAACAGCGTGAAGATGTTTACGCGTGTGTGTGCAATTTTCCTTGTGTACCTACGGTTTGCACTTTTCAGCAAAATTGATCATGGAGTTAGCCTTCCTACAAAACGGCCGTTAAACATCGCCCATCGGGGTAGTTCTGGCATGTTGCCCGAGCATACACTGGCCGCGTATGAACTTGCTGTCACCCAAGGCGCCGATGTCATCGAATGCGACGCCTGTATTACCAAAGATCTTCAGATTGTGTGCTTACATGAAAGTTGGTTTAATAAGTCTACAAATGTGATGTTATTGCCGCAATTTGCCGACCGCGTTCGAACATATTATGTCCAAGGAGAGGAAAAGTATATCACCGACTGGTTTAGCGTTGATTTCACGTTGGATGAACTTAAAACGATTAAGCAAGTCCAGACTTTACATTTCAGGAGTCACTCTAGTGATGGAATTTATTCAATAGCCTCGATGGAGGATTTTATACAAGTTGCTAAATCTGCCAACCGACCAGTTGGATTGCATATTGAAATAAAGCACTCAAGGTGGGTGAATTCTCTGGATATAATGAACGGAACAACGTTTGAGGATCTGCTAGCTCAGGAATTGAAAAGAAATAACTACTATCGGAAGACAGACCCTTGTTTTATACAGTCATTCGAGGAAGAAAGTTTGCGTTTGCTTGTCAATAAAACAAACTGCCCTCTGGTTATGTTATTCTGGACCTCAATGCCAACAGACAAGCAGCTAGAGGAATGGTCAAAATTTTGTTACTGAGTTGGTCCCTGGAAAGATTTGATCATTCCGTCTTGGAATGCAGATAATGGTTACAAAAACTTTCTCGGAAACGCCACAAATCTGATTAACAGGAGTCATGAATTAGGCATGAAAGTTCACGCCTGGACATTTAGAAACGAAGACCAGTATCTGGCATGGGACTATGAACAAGACCCGTATGTGGAGTTCGATACTTTTGTAAATCTCGGTGTCGACGGAATGTTTACTGACTTTCCAAACAGTCTCAGTAGATATCTAAACAATACGTCTCCAGACGATGACAGAAAAGGCACAGCTGTTGGTAACAGAAATGTTAATTCTGCTTCGTTTGTTTACATAAACTTTTCATTGTTTCTTACTGCTTTTGCCATGCCTTTATACGCATTCAAGTATGCCTATTGACAAGCATATACTGAACAGAATAGACAGGCTGTAATATACATGGATTAACACGCAGTGCGAGTCCAATTTATTATCTATTAAGGGTGTTGAAGTCCCAAGACGAAGGTACCCGGAGTTCACTGATAACCCTGACATTTTGTCTTTTTCAAACAAGAAAACTGAAAATGATATACGAACCGAGTACCCACATACATTGGCTTTCAGTTGGGTCTTAGCTCTAGACACGAGAATTTGTATCTGATCCTGGACATTACGAGAACTGAATAAACAGCCTTCAACAAAATAGATCGGAGTCATTGTCCCTTCTATTAATTTAACTATACCCAACTAAGGTATACTATGCCTTTATATAGATATCCCTTGAATGACCCAAGGGATATCTTATGAAAGGCTGATTACTGTAAAGTATTTCAGGATTGGTGATCCACCATGATACAGGCGTATTCTTGTCATTATTGAATAGTGTAAGACGACACTAAAAAAATATTCGTTTTCGACAGTGACGTGACGAGTCAATGGGAAAAACCATGAGAATAAGTCATAATTTCTTAATAGGAGGTTGATAGACAAGTACAACTTACCCTTGTTGCCCTCAAAATCTCTTCCAGATCCTGAAGAAAATGTGAAGAAAAAAGATACGGTAATTCTTAGATATATATTGCAAGATATACACTTGCATTTGTGACAGACTCATGTTTTCCTTTTATTTTCAACTTTTGAAAGAACTCCTAGTCAAGTGACGTATATTGACTTAATAATAGTGTTGTATTGCCTCTAAGATGATAGATTTCTTTCTACCTTTGACTATAAAAAAAAGACAAAATAGGAAAAAATAGAAAAATCTGATGAATATGGAAACTTACCGCCTCTAGGTTTCCAGCTTCATTAATAGCATTAATGGCATCTAGAGTTCGACCTGTAGGGAAATTAACGATGTGTTTTATTCTACAATTTTAATTACTGGGATTGCCGTTCTTGTAGCTTTGAATTAATTATAAAGTACCCATTTCTGTCTGTGAGGTACACAGCGCACGTGTTTTATATTTTCGTATTTTAGTGGCTTACCAATAATTTCTATCAGAAGTTTGGCGTTCGCAGTTAGATCTGGCCCTTCCATAGCATCTTTATTGGCGTCCAGCAAATCCCACACTTTTTGTGCCACTGTACCAATGGCTTCCTAAATTTTGAAAGTAAAACGAAGGATTGTAATTTCCTCACATTTATAATATACATGTACATGTAGGCCTACAACTGATATAAGAGCAATCGAGCAGCCTTAAAGAGACTTGACTTCTGTGACTTTTATAATCTTATTTTGCAGCATCTTGAAATCATGAATGTGCTTGCGTGAGATGGGCCTGCACATTGTAGCGGAAATCCCTCTCATTACTGACCCTTAACAGACACGCGTATTCACTCTTATGAAATATAAACCTTACCACGGCCAAGGCATTAACTTCATTGGGCAATTTGACCATGTCTCTCAATCCAGACACAATGAGACGGCCTGTTGACAAGCTTACAAAGTTCATAAGTGACAACGCTTGACAGATTTCTTGACGGATCTGAAAATAGTAACGGTTCATAAATAATCACTGAATTTAGCATCAAACACTTTTTATGTTTTGTTAATTTATAAAAATAAAGTCAACCTGTTCAAAAATCATTATGATGAAATTATGAAATAATTATAATAGTGGCTTCGCAAAGGGCTCGATGCCATGCGACTGAGTTTGTCTGTCTGGCTTTCAATCCGTCCAACATATGGTTTGTGTTGTGGTGTAGTATTTACTTAAAATTTGACAACTACGTGATATCACTAACCTGTACTCTCTGGTCAAACCATGTCTGGTACGCAGAAGCGTTTTCTGATCTCAGAGCATCCATCCTGGCCGTCAGAGTATCCTTCTGGGTGCGTTCGCTGTCGGTCAGGTCGGCGTCGGCAATAGCGTTAAGCAGCGCCAGGGCGATTTCAGTTTCGTTGAATTCTGTATAAAATTTTTGATAAAAGCGTTAAATATTTGTTTATGATTTGGCAGTGATAGAAAAGAGGAAAGGGACAAGGCAAGATATTACACGAAACAACTTCTTTTCGAGACATTTTTTCTAATTTTGAATCCTCTTTTCAGTTAACTGGTATTACATTATTTGAACACTATTTCCTTCTGAACTATTTTATTTTACATCTAAGAGTCGCTTTGCTGTTTTCACTTTTATTGAATGCATTAAAACTTACGTTCAGCTAAAGCAGCATCAACAGAATACATATTATTTATGTTCATATAGGCCACAAGTACGCCAAGTGTCTGCATCATTTCACGCGCGTCTCCCATCCTGGCCAGTTGCTGAATGTATCCATCCGGCCCCGTCATATTACCCATCATAGCTGCCATGGTCTCAGCAGAGGGAGGGTACACCTGGGAATATAGGAACATGTTTTTCTATATTGCTTTTTTCTGTGCATGATGCTGTTTACATCTTGCTTCATATACCATGATATTGCCTTTTGAAATCAATTATAATTCTTCAAAATGTTACTATAATAAAATGTATGACATGTTCCACCATTAGCTTTAAATCAAATACATTCTGGTTGCCTTTTCTTACAGTAATAATAGCAAAGTTTGTTATAAGAGTAAATACGAAGCATTATCGTCATTGAAATACGATAATGAATTAAAGAAGAGTTCTTATGCATTTTAACTTACGACTGCAGTAGAGATCACTTCAGCGGCCGAACCGATGGCATCGATGGCTTGAACCTTGACTTCAATTTCGTAGTTCTTATCCGAATTTCCTTGCGGCAGATAGGCGGCCTTTCGCATGGTGTAAGTGCTGCCTGTAATTGTATATCAAAATAGTGTAAAAAACTTTAAACTATCAGATCAGAATAAGACATTGCTTCTTTCTCTAACTATAATCCTGACAACGCTTTAGGTTATAGGTCATCAACGAATAACTGATAAGATTGAAAACATTTTTACCATAATTATAAAATGTGTGTCAATCCCCATTTCAATAGCAGAACTGTTGAAGTGTAGGGGAGACCGGGGCTAGTTGGACCCCGGGGTAAGTTGGCCCCCCATCAAGTCTCTTTAATAAAGTTACCTTAAGATGCTAAATTATTACCTCCGCCAAGGAGGTTATGTTTTCACCCCTGTTTGTCTGTCTTTCTCTCTGTCTGTCATCAACATAACTCAAAAAGTTATGGACCGATTTTGATGAAATTTGCAGAAACTGTCAGAAGTGAGCCAAGGAACATATGATTAATTTTTGGTGGTAATCCGGATCAATAATCAATAATCAAAAATATCGAAAATTTAGGGGTGAAACAGCATTGGATGGAGACTTTGCTGCCTTGGCAAAGGTCTGCGCTCTCTGAGTGCTTTTCTAGTTTCATTAAGACTCACTACCGACGCTTTCTTAGCACTATTGGATACGGTCACTTTACAAAATGATGTGATCAATTCTTTTACCATTTTACTTTTTCATAAATTGATGGGGGACCAACTTACCCCGGGGTTCAACTAGCGCCGGTCTCCCCTAAGCTTTACAAACCATTTAGTCAAACTATAATATACCAATGACTTTGAACATCTGCTCATTCTTTACCTTGAAACATCGATATTTATGTCATTCACCTTCATAGATCCAGCTCCAGTCATCGTCTGGGAAAATGCGATATCCCACTTTGTATCCGAAAGGCTTATCATCGTCCTGAAACTCGTCCGCGCAGAAGGTGTTGAAGGTGGTTTCCAGGGCCGTGCCATTGAAGGGAGAAACTGAACAGTTACCAGGGACAGGGGGCTCGTTAATGATGAACTCAAGGGAAGATTCACCTGAATAGATAAAAGAAATATCAATCAAATGAAACCGTTATTGTTTTGTCATTTCAAAATGTCTATATTCGGCAATCGCTTTGAGCGCTAGTTTACATCACCTAAAACTAAATATCTTAAAATATTATATTTTTATCATATTATTATGAAATATTTATTATCATTTAATTTATTATCATATTATTTTAACATATTTGAACAGTTCACTGTTGGTCTTGCAGCTATTAACATCATGGAAAACTTCCATTACCATAATTGTCCGCTCTGCCAGTTCTCCAGGCCCGACAACGCATGAACAGCCGCATGCCGACATCCGCCGCAGTGAAGATTCCAGTGTCCAGGAAAATGTCTGCCGTTTCCCGTCCTGTTCCCTTGGCATACCTCTGCCATACATTGGGGTCCCATGGAGGAACAGTATATGGATCGACTCCAGGAGAAGCCTTCACGATGTCCCAGCTGTAATAAAAAGGTGTGAAATAATGAACAATTTTAAATGCATGACGTATAACAATAATAACAATAATAATAATACTGTTTATTTAGAGAGTTAAGTGCACACACTTATCTATCACGTCACTCTTTTAATCTCGTAAGGATGGCTTTATGACTATTAAAACAATAATACCACCAGGAAAATCTTTTTTAACCTATGACTATGAAAGGCCCAATGTGTCTTTAATAAAGTAAGATGTAGATGTATTTCAAAGATGTTTTTGGTAACGACGCTAGGTGCACATTGTGGTACTTACATATAAGAATACTGCGCAAGACCAGCTTTCAAGATTTTGGACTTGACAGTGAACGGATACAGAGGGTTCACCTTGGCTTTGCAGTTTGACACACAGCTGAAATAAAGATACAGATAATTGGACACGTTTTTTCCACAAGTCGTGGAAAATTGTAGTGAAGTAGATTCACAGCACTACATACAGTTCTCGAGCTATTCAGTTTACAAGTTCCTTCTTCCTTTTAATTCCAGTCGACAATTTTCCGGAGGAGGGTAGTGGGATTCAAGACAAAGACTGCATTTCCATCTGGATCGACCTAACTCCCTGGGGGTTCACGCTAAATTGCTGTCAGCCGAGCGCGCACGACAGTTAATTACCCCCATTCAGCTTTTAGTAGGCGGCACAGACATTTAAGCCGGTTAAGATGACACCAATCTAGTGAGACTCCCCAGGGAGATAGGTCGATCTAAATATCTATGGGAATGGGGTCAAAGACAAAATAACGCATTTGACTGACTAATAGCAAGGCAAAGAGGCTGTTGTCAAGTTGGCTGATCGATAACTCATGGCATGGCCAAGACTCCCGTGTCACCATTGTATATTCAGTCCAATACAAAATGTTATAAATGTTATATACACACCTAAGTTCAATCTCTGGGGGATCTCCGAGTGTCACGTTGATGGCCTGTCTCATAACTTGCATACGGTCATCTTTGGTCACTACCACCATCATTTCCACCACGTCCAACTCGTACCAGTTCGTCGTGTCAAATATCTCAACACCAGTTGTTGCGTTTAATTCACCTGGGAACCATATTTATGTATTTTTGAAACAAAATTTAACTTTCGATTTTTTTCTGATGTAATTGTTTATTATCAAGAGGTGAAACGTAAGCTCAAACGTAAATTGTAAAGCATGTAAAATAGCAAAAACATGTGAAACTGGCGAAGGTAGAATTATCAACGCCGCTTGGATTAAGCAACAATCTGCCACCTTTTTCGATCACATATAATGGTGAACATTCACCTTCTGTTTTTGCGAAAATTTTCGTTTTTGGTGATGCATATCAAATTGTTCTTATGAAAAACATATTCCACCGAAACGGTAAGCGTTCCTTACCAGCAGACTCAACGCCATCATACTTGAAACAACCCCCTTCGTCGGCACCATTCAACGTGTCGTAGGTACAGTTCGACGTAAACGGAGCCAAAATCATTGAGAAGTTGTCGTTGTACTCGGGCCACGTTTCACAGAGACGTCGACAGAACCAACGGAACGTGAAATTCGATTTGTCCGACTCCCCAACATCCGGGTCATAGGTACCGTCAATTGCGTCAATGGTGATGTTAATACCCCATTTTCTGCGTACGAATGATCCTATAATAAAACAATGAAGTTCAAGCTACTTAGATATAGAAAACGAAACATTTCAAACGTAAGTTGATAGTAGTTTTAAGGTAAAGGCGGTAAATATATCAACGCTGTAACCACAAATGAGGGCATCTTGCGACAAGAACAGAGTCGAGATATCATTTAAAAGATGTACAATTTACATGCAAAATAATTTCAATTTGAACAAAAGGACTCAATGCCTCCCACTCTGGCGGTTCTATTAGAGACAATGCTCGGTGAAATATCAACGAAATATTGAAAAAAAANACAGTTAATTACCCCCATTCAGCTTTTAGTAGGCGGCACAGACATTTAAGCCGGTTAAGATGACACCAATCTAGTGAGACTCCCCAGGGAGATAGGTCGATCTAAATATCTATGGGAATGGGGTCAAAGACAAAATAACGCATTTGACTGACTAATAGCAAGGCAAAGAGGCTGTTGTCAAGTTGGCTGATCGATAACTCATGGCATGGCCAAGACTCCCGTGTCACCATTGTATATTCAGTCCAATACAAAATGTTATAAATGTTATATACACACCTAAGTTCAATCTCTGGGGGATCTCCGAGTGTCACGTTGATGGCCTGTCTCATAACTTGCATACGGTCATCTTTGGTCACTACCACCATCATTTCCACCACGTCCAACTCGTACCAGTTCGTCGTGTCAAATATCTCAACACCAGTTGTTGCGTTTAATTCACCTGGGAACCATATTTATGTATTTTTGAAACAAAATTTAACTTTCGATTTTTTTCTGATGTAATTGTTTATTATCAAGAGGTGAAACGTAAGCTCAAACGTAAATTGTAAAGCATGTAAAATAGCAAAAACATGTGAAACTGGCGAAGGTAGAATTATCAACGCCGCTTGGATTAAGCAACAATCTGCCACCTTTTTCGATCACATATAATGGTGAACATTCACCTTCTGTTTTTGCGAAAATTTTCGTTTTTGGTGATGCATATCAAATTGTTCTTATGAAAAACATATTCCACCGAAACGGTAAGCGTTCCTTACCAGCAGACTCAACGCCATCATACTTGAAACAACCTCCTTCGTCGGCACCATTCAACGTGTCGTAGGTACAGTTCGACGTAAACGGAGCCAAAATCATTGAGAAGTTGTCGTTGTACTCGGGCCACGTTTCACAGAGACGTCGACAGAACCAACGGAACGTGAAATTCGATTTGTCCGACTCCCCAACATCCGGGTCATAGGTACCGTCAATTGCGTCAATGGTGATGTTAATACCCCATTTTCGGCGTACGAATGATCCTATAATAAAACAATGAAGTTCAAGCTACTTAGATATAGAAAACGAAACATTTCAAACGTAAGTTGATAGTAGTTTTAAGGTAAAGGTGGTAAATATATCAACGCTGTAACCACAAATGAGGGCATCTTGCGACAAGAACAGAGTCGAGATATCATTTAAAAGATGTACAATTTACATGCAAAATAATTTCAATTTGAACAAAAGGACTCAATGCCTGCCACTCTGGCGGTTCTATTAGAGACAATGCTCGGTGAAATATCAACGAAATATTGAAAAAAAAATCACTTACCGCCTGCAATCTTTGCCACTAAATCAGACTTCACAATTCGCACCATGATGGTGGTGACATTCTCTATTCCAATCTCGCCATCCATGGATACATTGAGCCTAAATTTGTATAGGCCGTAAGGCAACAGACGTTTCCTAAGTACCAACGTACTTAGCTCAGTTGGCGAATACAACACGGTGTCGCCTAGGTCGTCGAAGGAGGTTTCCTGCATGGTTTCTTCATCCACTGTGTAAACGTTCCAAGTGAAATGATAAATCTTTGTAGACGAGCAATTTATGGCGACATCGGCTTCCATATAGAGATCTTCGGATCTTTTGTGCGTGCGGACAGTTGGAAATTTTGTATCACAGTTTGGCGGGACGCAGGTCATGGGTGCGAGACTGACCGATGGCCATTTACAGAACCCACGAGTCACCCCGGACACCCAGTATGACTCGCTGCGGGAGACTTTATTGTGGGCAATCATGGTGACGTTCCAGACGCCTGGGGTTTGGAACACGTGCGGAAACGTCAAAGACAACCTTTGACCCGGGGCGCGCATGGCCTCAAGATCTGAAGCGGCGTAAGGAACGAACCGACGTGGCTGTAAGGCCCAGCTGTTTGGATAAGTCTGCTCGCATTCAGCTTGGTTTCCCAAAAACGCCAAATAGTTTTCGTCTGACATGGGGTCCTTAAAGTTAATGAAGTAGCAAGCATCGGAGCCTATGGTACCTGGGTAGATCTGGAAGTTGAAGGTGGTATTCCTAGGAGCTGGCTCTTCCACCCATATTTCAGTATCGATGCAACTCCTCTGAACTATTATAGTCTTTTCAATGACAACGTTATTCAGGGGGTTGGAAGCGTTAAGCTTGATGGTGTAGGTGCCGGGTTCATTATAAAGGTATTTGATATATGGTTCATTGTAGACAGTTTGAACAAAACCATCTCCAAACTCCCAGTGGTAGGTGACGTGAGATCCTCTATTCATCGAGACGTCTAAATAGACTAATTTTTCTAAAGGATAATAAATGGAACCCGGTCCAACGCCCTTAGCCTTTAAGATAATGGTACCGTTGTTGTCTTCCTCAATGGCAAATACCGCTTTGCTCAAGTTGGTAATACTTTCGAAGACATCGACATCGTATGTGAACGTTACATTGTCAGCAAGGTTGAACACCACTACTGTGACCGTATACACATTGCCGGTGCTGTATCCATGATCAAATGAAAACATGTGTTCATAGTCACCGTCGTCCAGGGCGGGGTCTCCGTGGTCGGGTAGAGGTCGGGTCACACTCTGAGTACCATCCCCGTAGTCTATGTAATAAGACGCATTAGATGGTAATGGGATCGCTCGTTCATGGTAGAATTTGAAAGGTACCACTACCAGCCACTCTGGCGGTTCTATTAGAGACTGTTTACGTCCAGTTAACATGAACCCTGTAACTGGAAACTGAATAATAATGGGGTCTGTAATTGTTTTTATAAGTGTACCGACAGAGTTCATAGCAGTGATGGTAATGTAGAAATTGCCGGCTGTAGTGTAATTATGAAATTCGGTGTTCGTTTCGTTGGTTTTGTAGTCCGTGGTGTATGTTGGGGTGCCGTCTCCAAAGTCCCATGTCAGGTTTAATCGAGTTCCCCAGGCAACCGTTACGGTAACCATACACAGTGTGTTTATCTGTACGAACTGAGGGTCGGGTTCAATGGTCATATTCAGAATTGCCTGATCCACAACCAAATTGGTGCTAAATTCCATAAAACTGACATAGTTGGAGACATTCAGTGTGATGGGGTACGTGCCGTATACAGAGTAGTTGTGGGTGGTGGGATGCGGCGTAGTTTCGTTGACGATGACATATCGTGTAATATTGCTTCTGTCGCCGAATGTGTACGATGCAAACATATCTGTTCCCAGCAGAGGTACACCGTCATAATGGATTTCAAATAGTCCAACAGACACAGAGTTGGGATAGAGAGCCACCGGAGAATTTGTTACTAAGGTCAGTCCTTCTACTGCATTCTGAACGATAATTTCATACTGGATGGTCTGATTGTCCACTGGGTTAACCATGGTCAAGTTGACCGTATAGTTATCTGCAGTAGCCCAGGCGTGTCGTAAAACTATGTTCTCGGGCTCTAACATGACGCCACGATACAAATTATGTTGGAAACCGTCAGCGTAGTCCGCGGTAAGGTTGAATCGAGAGGCACGGTAAACAGCGTGGGTGAAGTTGATTTCCCTCCCGGGGGTTATGTAGAACTCTTCCACCTCAACCGTATAGTTCTCTATCAGGTAATCTACCCATAAGACGGCACTTGCGTTTGCAAAGTTAACAAGATTGCTACCAGACACGACGAGGGTGTAGTTACCGATGGTTCGATAGTAATCATCTGGTATGATATGTACAAAACCATCAATGGCGTGGCCATCAGGGACCTCGTACTCGTATAACTCATCACACATAGGAATACTTGTTGTGCCTGGATAATCACCGCCGGCAGCACCCTCAGCCGAAGAATCGTTATGGTATCCATAATTGCCATCAGTTCCATTATGGTACCCATAACTGCCATCAGTTCCATTATGGTAAAAATAACCATCATCAGATTCATTCACATTTGTATATCCGTAACCACCTGCTGCAGTTTCATTCATAATTCCGCCATAGTAACCACCTGCTGCAGTTTCATTTACGTCAGGGTATGATCCATTCTGGTAGACAGTAACGGCGTAGGGGGCAGCGGTTGTAAACGTGCAGGGAACCTGTCTCACTCCGGTCATGGTCTTTGTTCGGAGAGTCATAGATAAATTTCTGGTAGGATATCCGTCGAACGTTGACTCGTACACGGCATTGGTTCCATTGGTTGTGGTGACAACAATGGTGACTTCTGTATCGTATGGGATGGGGTTTGGGGGTTCGATGTAAAGGTCTAGTATGGGGATTTGTATTGGGAGGTACAGCATGGCTGACTGACTGCTGATGGCGTTGCTGGCTGTGAGGTGCACGGAGTAATTGCCGATATCACCAAATGTGTGGTTTAGCGCCCCTGACAAACCTACATGCAAACAAACAACCGTGTAATATTTGTCTTGTCCTCAGACCAAGGAAAAGCAAGTCACCCCGTGACGGGTATAATTGTCTGTTCTATATTTTAATAAAACAACAAACAGTAATTTATATGCCATAAGCAAAAGATTGTAATTACATATTTCTTGTTATCAGCCTCTGTTAAGAACAGTGATTTATGCAATACCTGCTTTTGGCCCCAATAACCACACTTGAAAATATATACAATATAATATAGTACCTAAATGGAGTCCGTCCACGCCTATGTCTGGGGGTGCATCATGCAATAGCTGGTATGTATTACCATCGCTGAACGCAATGTCATAGGTCACATTGGTACCTGGAAAATGCGGAACAAGAATTGAACTCAATGCTATGTTATACTGCGTTGAGTTAAATCTTTGTAAATGGGTCGAATGTTGCCGTAATAGGTGAAATGAGCACTTTGACATTTTCGAGCTCAGGACAAAAATATAAGTAAATTATGTAAAATATACTAAAATGAATCTTGAAAAAATTGGGGTATATTCGTTAATGCAGTCAACAGACTCATGCCACTGTATTTTTACCTTTATAATAGTAGCCTCTTTTTATATGCATTTTTGTCATTTCTATTTCTACCAAGTGAAAGAGGTAGTTAAAATGGGTCACCTTTGATTTTCAGGAGGTACAAAGAAAAGAAATGACGTAACGGAGGGAAAATACCCGAAACGATTATTAAGTTCTTAATAGCAAAATGTGCAGTTTTCTTATACAAATCCATCCTTAGACAGAATTTGGAGGCCAAGATGAATAACTTATTTGACATACCGTATGCTATGGTCCATGTTACCAAAGTTGGATAGGACTGGACTGTGACGACTTGGCCAGCTTCAAATACCAGATCTAAAATTGTGTCTTGAATGGAAATCCATCCCTAGCATGGGATAAACACGTAGCATTAAGTCGACATATAATAGATAAACATGGATGCGAATTCAATACAAGAGAAAATTAGCAATGTCCTCAAATTCAATACTTTCGAAATTATTTTATCACATCCTGTTGTCTGTGATAAACAGTTAACTTTGAATTTACATATTTACGATAAAAGAAGAATGTTGAACGGAATTATTATTTCTTACATAGGTAGTCATGTTGCTGACGTCATTCCAGGCAAAGAGAGTGATCCCATAGACGCCATCGCTGACGTAAGTGTGACTCATGGTGCGTGTTTGATATACTTCTTCGGTGTGTCCATCTCCAAACTGCCAGCTGTACGTCACCTTACTGCCCGGATGGGCCGGAATATCAAAACTGACCGATGCATTAGTAGCAACTGAAATTGAAAAGTATGTTTGTTGGTTGGATATATTGTTTAAATACTAGGGATATTTCATAAAACTTACCGGTTGATCGGAGAATTAATAAATATGATGTTTCTTTTTTTTTTTAAATAACATATCCTGATTGAACATTTGTACGACTTCGTTGTAAACTTTATTTAGACATCTTTAGATTGTATTCAGACGAGCCATAATTGATAATGAACGCGATACTCTCATTATGCTTAATTTATAATTCAAAATTTAGACGGATGACCGTGCATTGGATTCCAAGCTGCATCAATCTTGTTACATTCCTTAATAAGCTTCATTTCTCATTCGATTTCTACTGTCTTTTTGATTCTACAAAAGTATCTATGGCTAGCCTTACCATGTGAAACAAAGTTGAAAGTAAGATTCGCTATCACAGCTTGAACTTCTATTCCGACGGAATCATTGATTGCTCTGTAGTTTTGATCCCCAGGCAGCATATCTTGGTTACTCACGATCGCTTCCAAGGTAACGTTGCCTGCGTTATAAAATGTGTACTCAAACGAGGTTGTCACCGTGCGCACGACGAACGCCTTGACCATGTGCTTGGTGTTTGATCCTGAAAAAGAACCGGGGATCTGGTACTCGCCGGGCACGCGATTGCCCCAGTTATTGCCGACATCGGAGTAGGTTTCTTCAGCAACGGTAGAATCTGCATGCTTGATGGTAATGGTATTTTCCATATAGAAAGCAAATACATCTCCCGGCTGGACTTCAATGGCGCTGGAGTCAAGCACAGCGAAACCCAAACCAGTGGAGCTTATAACGTGTGTGTATTCCCCTACAAGTTCCAATGTCTGCACAGGCATAGCATTCCAGTCGCTGGCGAAGTACCAGTCTATCCGGGCATTAGTAGCCCTATCACGGCAAGTGCGGCCAGGAAAACTGAAGTACTGGTCACTTGCACACGTTATTGCCCATCGGTCAGTCTGATCCTGGCAGGCCGCCGTCGATCCGATACAATTGTATGACTTCATGCAGAAAGTGCTGCCAGACGAGCACACAGGACGATATACCTGGAAGAATATCAGTAGGATTTCCTTTATCTCATTTGAGCGATCTCATTTAATTAATTTTAAGAGGCTTAGGGTTATTGTAACCATTTATAATTATCCAAATACCAAAAATGAGTTTTTTCCTGCATCTAATTATTCAAATGCATCTATCTTTGTGCTGATTTAAAACAATGAAAAAGCCCTCGAAAATATAAAATAATATAATATCAGCGTTTATATTTTTTCGTTGCAATGTATAAGCAAAGGCAAGCGTCAATTCAACACCTTTCTAGTGTTCAATATTAGCAAAATTGCCGGCGAAAAGTGCTTGTGCGTGTCACACGCATTAAGTTGCGCCTTTTTTGTGGTGACAACTAACTAATGAAAATGACAAATGATCAAAACGTTAATAATGAATACAGTTTTGTTTAAGAACGATTTTTGATAATCCGACTTTATGGTGTGTGGGATAACTTAGCTATTTTGATTTATACGCTGTATGTTATACCAAAGCAACATTGAAAACCGCAAGAGCACTGAATGGTGTTTATTATCTTTATCGATAACAACATCTATAATTCAATACCTGAAAGATAATTGTCCCTGTTGCTATAGCATCGTATTGCACGGTCTTCAATAAACCTTCATGTTTGAATATCTGGTTCTGCAAGATGTAAATCTTGCTATGATGCGTGGTTTGAGATCCTGCAGTCCCACCCATGTGCCCAACGGTGTAGATGGAGGTATCTATAGTTTAAAAAATGCAACAGAATTATACAATGGGCGATGTTGTGTAAAGAGTTCTCAACTGATTAATAATTTGACAGCCAGATTGATATTGTTTTTCGGTTGTAATCAAAATAAACAACACATTTCATGATTACCTGGCATCTGAAACGTAACTCGGTTGCCTGAACCGATGACGCTAACATCTGCAGCCATGTTGGTTCCCTCTTGCACGGTCATCTTGCAGAAAAAGGGTTTGTTCTGTGTTGCCACGGAAGGACACGTTAGATTCAACTTTTGGACGGGCATATATACCTGGAAATAGCAAAATATATTTATCCTTAAAATATTTTTTTAATTGTTAAAACAAGATCGTTAAAACAATCTTAAGAAATATGATTTATTTCAAACTCTTATTCGCTGAGACAGATCAATTTTTAAAGATATTTTAACTTCCAGTCATACATCAGGGATTCTCTTTAATTGCAAATACATAGGTAAGCGCTCGCAGCTGGAAAGCCATTGTTAAAGAATTAAAGACACTTTTTGCAACTGTCTAAAAAAACACTACATGCCAAATTTACTTTAACATTCGAAAGTTTTTATGTTCAACATTCTCCGTCAACAATGCAGTCATATTTTTCATATTTCCACTGGAAATAATGGTGCTTTTATGTGAGTCCAATTTGCAAAGGGCGTATTAAAATTTTTTCAAGAAATTTATTCGGCTCTAGCCAAATGAAGAGAAATGTTATACATATAAAACAGTAAAAGCATAAATTGTGATGTTTATGTAACAGTAATAGACAAGGTTTCTTATTTAACACCGAATGCATAGACATTATTGCATATTTAGCACAAATAAAAACACGTTTTATCTTACCTGTGTCTTACCTGTGTTTAAGTAAATATACATAATACTTTGATTCTATAACATAACTAAGCAGACGAAAACTGCCATGTTTAAATGCGATCTTTTGTAGAAAAATATCTTATGACGCATTTTCATCGGTAAATTTTCTGATTTTCAAAGATGAACAGAAAAATAGTTTTGAATCAAAAAGCTGTTCAATTTTCACTTGAAAATGAAAAGTACTCGAGGAGAATGGTATTCCAATGTTTAGTTTTGTATCGGAAAAAATATTGTGAAGTTATGGTTGTTGCTATTAAAGGCCCGCTATAAACAAATTGTTTACGGCCGACTGCATTACTGATTTGCTTGTGTAAACCAAGGCAACCGTTTAAGAATAAAGGACTGGGGCTTTAGAGAAATAAATAAGTATTCCATACAACGTTTAAGTATTTATAAATAAGCCACTACAACAGTCGATTCACGTGCAAACGATATAGTTTTACTGTAATACTACCCAGTTCATATCACCAATGAACAATGTCATCTCTCTTTTTGGATCAATAAAAATGCTCATCATTGAGTCTTTTTTTGTTCTCCTTAATTCAATAAAAACGCTGTTCAGTGTATTCAAATAAACTTCTACATGTACCTTTTGAATGTTGTGTATATACTTGTTATGCCAACCAAAATAAACATTTTTTTTCTTTTTAATGTAGTAAAATAAATATTATAACGCATATTACAAAAAATAACATACATAGTTAGAGGGTCCTATCAGGGCAAATCCTTTTTGTTAATTGTCATGGGTTTTTTATTACTACTTACATCTAATGGATTGAAATGAAAACATGACATGTAGGCTCATTACTGAACTGCATGCATCGTTTGCTTAGTCGCCCGTGACATATGCTGTTTATGTTTTGCTCAATTTGAGTGCAAAAACATTAGAGCGTTTCAATCGATACCACGTCTCCGAGGTAGAGGTACCATCTAATGCACGGAAGTTGAACAGTTTAAGCTACAATAAAATGTAAACGAGGAAGAGACGTCGGAACAATAACGTACGTGAAACGTTGTACTGGAGAATCCATGCAGAGAGATGCAGATGCCTTCGCGTGCACTGTTTTTTTTTTTTTTTCAACCCGCACCCAAACAACATCAAACTTCACATAACATACACAAATACTCTAATGTTGAATGATAAAAGGAATAATAATAAAAAACAATAATGATCACAGTGATAACGCCTTACCTTGGTCACAGCGGATGTCAAAACCTCCTCTCCTGTGAAGAAGTGGGTGCTTTTCACAGAACTGACGATGTCACCAGCGTCAAAGTACAATTCACTTTGGTGAATTTCCCGAACGTTGGAGTGAATATATCTCGTGGACGATGCATCAGCTAATACACTTAAGGTATAGTCAACACTGGCATTATACTGGTTCGTGACACTTATGTTGTACGTTTCCTGGGCATGCCCCAATACTAATGAAAACGGAAAATAGTTACTGTTAATCTACATATACTGTGGATAGGCAGTAAATACGAAAATATCGATAATATTAGAATGATAGTCAGATATTATTATTATACTTTTTCTTTAAAATTTGAAAGGCCTACGACTACGTCTTAGTCTGTTTTGTTTCATGAAACATACTGCAAATTGACAAACTCAACAATATGTCGACTTTAGTTTCTCTGGAGTACGTGTCATCTCATGTTGACTGCAGCACTTACCAAAAGTTTTTTTAATGAAGAAAAGATTTTTAACTATGTCAAGAATAAAAAAGGACAAGTTTTTTTTTTTCAAAACACTCGTTTCAAGTACAACGTGACACACATAGCTTATTTTCTGCTCCAATATATTATCGCTAAAGAATGCCACAATTCGTATGCAGCAAATCTACAAAACAAAGCTACAAAAATGGCTAATGAATAATATTGGCTAGCCTGAGAATTTATTTTGTCTTAAACATGCACCACACAAATCTCCTACAGTTGTAGGACTTATTTATGCAGACAAACACAGTGGGTACGACATTTAACCACAAAACCTAAAACATAGGCCTACATGTAGGCCTATATTTGCTTCACAGGTCAGGGTTTCAGAGATGACGCCCCCTTCTTCATTTGACTGATGTTTACCACGCTTATCACAAATGTCAGAAGAGGACAGTTTCATAAAATGGCTATAGCCCAAAATATTGGTCTAACTTTCATATCCAAATCTATCCTTTTCAATTCAAGATAAGCTAATGGTAGACCACTAAAATACATTAAGCATTGATCATTAGTCATGCCATGTTATAAAACAGGCGGAGTATTTCATTTTATTCGATTTATGTGTACTTATCGGAAGTCAGGGTGAACATAAAATTTGGTAAAAAAATTAAGACTTCTTTTTGGACTACAGCTCTTTTGTCTAAGAACTACGTCATGTGCCCCTCTACAGAACCGCGAATTCCGTTTGACTGGATGCCTGTCTGTTTAATCTTCGTCTACAAATTTGACAACTGTGAGAGACCGTTGACAGATGTTTGATAAAAAAGAAGAACCCGGCCCACATTTTAAGGGTACACCCGTCAGGTAGGGGGCCTATCATTCCAGTCCCGAAACAACAATCTTACAGACTAAAAATGCATTTACGTATTAACTCTAGAAATACGACAACACAATACACAACATCAAAATTAGGACATGGCACTTACATTCCAAAACAGCTATTGACACAGAAAAATGTGATAAATTGTAATGCAAACGCTAATGTAGGATTAACAGTTTCATTGATATGGCATTTAAAAAAAGATTACAAAGCCACAAAATTACGTAACATGCAGGAAGAAATGTAGCAGTATGTTCTTCTGCATATTCTGCTGCATAAAAATATGCAACAATATCCCGTTTGTACTGGAAGGCCAAGTTAGTATGCGCCGCAACAGAATATTAACTGTGCGTTGTACAAAAATCTTATTGCCACCTGCTCCAGTTAATGAATGAATCAATTGTATATATGATGTTTAAAACGCTGTTCACGGCCGTACTTACCGGGCGCTGATAAGGAGAGATACCCCAGAGGGTTATCCAGCCTGTACACGGCGTGATGGAGCTGGCCGCCACAGTTCTCTGTATTGTTGCCCGAACACGCGTTGACACAGCTGTTCTCGTCAGCAGGCCCATGGCGCCCATACGAGTCAGAGCAGTAGCAGTATTTTCCCCTGAGTAATCCGGCATAACTAGAATAAAATTATATCGTCATCGAATTAAGTTTCGTATAGCATGAGGTGTGCTGAGGGATTGAAAGATATCCAACTATTGGCTAAATGATCTTATCTGAAAAATGGAAGATAAAAAAGAAAGGGAAAGAAGAAATATGAAACACAACAGTGTGTCAAGCTATTTTATAGTATTAAAGATTGATAAATATTTCCAAGAAATCATCATACACTCAAAATCGCCAGTTTTTATACAAACAATAACATTATTACATTGCTAATATTTATGTTCAGACAAGAAACTGGAAGAAGTAGTCTTAACAGAACACTGAATTTTGATATCAGAAATTATCTTCTTATAATGTTTGATATTCCGTGAGACATTCGCATAACTTACCCATAATGGTCCTCTTCACACCTGTATTTACAGATATCGACGATCATGGCGGACGGGTCGTAAGTTCCTGCATGGACACGGAATTCTCTATCATGAAGTACCTCAGGAAAGCAGCCAACATAGTCTAAAATGTAGAAGAACTGAGTAAAACGCTTGGTATCATACACTATCACAACAGAAAAGCGGCAATGTGCCCGACGTCCACTTCACTTTAAAGTTAAATAAATAAAGTTAAATAACGTGTTTCAGTGTATGAGGAATACTGAGATCTTTCCATACATGTACAGTATTCTTAAATGTACTGTATTTGTAGCATAGGTAAATGTTTACAAAAGCCGGATATGTTAGTTATATCATAAAATATAATCTACCTGTGACTTTTATAGTATTTTACATTTCATGATATCTTACATACAACCCTAAAGAATTTATCACATTTTGTTTATAACTTGTGTAAAAGGAGAAAAATCTATAAGAGGAAGAAAAGTGCTATTTAAACACCATTAATGTGCACTGATATCCTAATCGATTGTTAATTGCCATGGCCATCCCTGTTAAACAAATGTATAATTTGAAGCCCGTGGAAAGCCTCACTTCACCCCTTAGACTGCATTCCCACAATTTTAGATCGATCCATCTGGAGCGACCTAACTCCCTGGGGGTTCACGCTAAGCGCGCACGAAAGTTAATTACCCCCTTACAGCTTTTAGTAGGCGGGACAGACATTTAAGCCGGCTAATCTGACAGCAATCTAGTGAGACTCCCCGCGGGGATAGATCGATCTAAAATTTGTGGGAATGCAGTCTTAGACTACATGTACTGCACAAAGGGAAATACATGTTAATACAACTCAAACTATCAGTATTGGAAATATATCTTTCAACGTACGCATATCTACCCCACAAAAATGCATGAAAACCAGAAAAATCAATCATTTAGGTGTGGCCAAAACATCAGCCGATACATATATGCAAAGGAACAAAGAATATATAATCGGCTGACATGTCCAGTTTTGCAAATTGTCATAATGCCGCCAGGGATTAACCTGTCATTGCTGCGGTGAAATATTCGCAAGGGTAAGAACGGTTGAGAAGTTCAACGAATTTCATTGTAATTCAGTATTGGTTATTTCTTATGTAATAACATTTTGTTTTGTTGTGTTAACAACAGCGCATTGTTTCCTGTGTTAACTTGTCCGTGAAGTAGATCTTTGATATTTGGAATTCGTCACGCTGTAGCGGACGAAAACATCAATATCTATTATTTCATAATCAAAAGTATTGAACCATAATCGATATTGGATTTGCGGTCTTAAACCTTACTCCTTCATTTTTCATTCCTTCATATTGCCTGTTGATTATGAAATCAGTGATAAAATATTATATGTCGTCTCTTAATAAGATTGCAAATTCCACTTGGCAATTACATTTTAGAAAGCAGTCATGAAATGCCACTTGCTATTAGGTGAATAGCTGAGACCTCAACTACGATTTCTACGATATGTCTTGATTTAAAACATAAAATAACATAAACTTTAAAAAATAATTATCTAATACTTTCAAAACTATTAACGTTTCTGCCAACAAATATGAAAGTTTCTCATACAACGCGTTACAATATAACAGCCAATATGTCAGAGAGAGTAATGTTAATCATTACATCCAAAATCCATTGAATTTGACTTAATGTCGTAAAGTAAAAGGCTTACACTTTCACTAATTGCAAATAATAATTAAAACGGAATCAATGAGTAAAAAAAACATAGGGAGTTATTGGGCGTTTAAGAGTCAACAAGTGTAGAATTTATGTAGTAGGAAAAGATGGATCATGTCAAAGTCACATATAGTTCGCTTTGATTGGTTAATTTCTTAATAGATTTGCAAGATTCTGACACTTGTGAAACACATGCAATCTAAGGATGGATATGGTCCAAGCATGAGGAATTAAAAAATATTTTAAATTGAAAACAAGTTCCTTAAACAGTACCTAATAAGGAAATGTTTAATGGTAGTTTGCAACATGAAAATGGAAAAATCCTTGTAATCACGCAAAGACAATGGAAAGAAAACAAGTAAACGCATGATCTGTACGGAGAAATGGAGTATAAATACTTGTGAAATTGTATGAAAAAGAGAGGGGGTGAATAAACGTTCGAAAGCTCCAGATCGACTTATTTCTGCGAAATACGCGACAAAAACTATAATTCTATCTCTTAAAAATATGTTGTGTTAAGTAGGTCTTTAAAGCATTCGAAATATAATAATTAATTCATTCCTTTCTAATCTTTTTACTTGGATAACGCCTGTGAAGCAATGAGCATAAAACTTTTTAGAAAATAACACCGACAGTCGGTCACAAAATAGATGCTGTTTGTTTAAAAGTATCTTATCCGGGATTTCCCTGCCAAAAAAAGTTATTTGCCCTTACTCACAATTCATTGCTTGGAATCGATATTTTATGCCGTTTAAAAGTTAATAATTTCGTTTAAATGTTTCCCATAATGTTTAGACCGCAATGTCCTCCTGTACATTCCAGAAGGAACTATCAATGTCTGGTACTTTTATTCGAAGTATTTGGGGGCTTTTATCGTTTTTGAAAGTCTGCATTGAGAAAGATAACAAGCTATGCAGGATATGTAGACATAAAAAATATGATATCGGGACAGTCTCAAAGTATTCTTTTAGCATGTCTGTATAAAAACGACACCTGCCTTTGCGTGTTTATGCAAACTTTTTTCAAATGTGCATTTAAGAATATTTGCAAGAGTAAGAAAACTGATATGCCATGTATCAGAGTAAGGCTTTTTTAATTTCTATTTTTTATTTTTTCGTGTTTTTTACTTGTTTTGAGTCAAAAATCGCTTCTGGTAAGAAACGCGTTAAATACAAAGTACCTCACGATTGCCAGTAAAAAAAAAACTATATGCACAATATAGTTTCAAAGAAGTCTATATAACTTAGTGCACTCAAATGGGAACCATATCAAAGCGCGTTAAAAAAAAAAGCGACAATTGATACACTGTATAAAAAGTCATCTACCAGACAGCTGAAAACCAAATATCTGTTTTAAATCAAATGTTATATTTTCTGGATAGATGGAATTGCAACAGGTAGTCAAGAAATGTGATTCATACAATAATGACCATTATTTAAATGCATTTTGATAACATTAAGATTAATATTGATTTTAAGGATGCAGGGGTTTGAATGAAAATCGCATCGTACGTCGTTCAAATAGTCGTGACAGACGTAGTAGAGCAATAATCCTTACATACGAATATTCGTTCTCAGTCATGGTCTTAAAAAGTGTTAACAGGCCTTATGCCAAACTATAATCACATATAACGACGAAATGAATGGATTATTTAATTTAATGTCATTTTTCGAATATTAAAATAAAAACCGAAGAACTTGAATTACCTGCTCTGGTGAC